TTTTAAAAGGAAGTAAATCTTTTTTTGTTAAAAGTTTGATTGTCTAAGTACTTTCAGAAATTTGAATAGTTTGTTCTAAGCTTTTAACAACAAAACGAGTTAATATATCTATTTTGCCAAATTTATAAATTTGGTTTGAAGGTACTGATGGAATTGTCCATTTATTAAGTTTATCCAATTTTTTTGGATATTCTATAAGTTCTTCATGTTTAATCAAACCATTTTGATGATTATCATCATCAGAATCCATAAATATGACAGGCTAAGGATGTTGTGGCTGATTAGCTATCTTAGGTAAAACTAAGTAGGTAAATATAACTCTTGACCTTAATAGAAATATATCTAAGCAACAACTGATAAGTCATCTTTGCAAACAAAATGATGTTTAACTATCAACCCTAAGGGATAGAAGGATCTCTCCTAAATCAAAGATGTCCAATGTTTTTTAGCAAAAAAAATCTTTTTAAATTCATTTTGACACTCCCTTCTCCGGAAAAACGATGAATATAAGAAAAAACTAAAAAACCTCTTTAGTTTTTAAAAAGCCCTTATTACTTGTTGCCATGATATATATTTATTAATATCAAGAGAAGAACCTAAATACTTAGTTTCTTCTAAGTTACCTAATCTTCCACAACAAAAATTTTAGTCACTAAATGACATTTATTATTAATATGTGTGTGTGTCTGTGTGTTTTAGAAGTGTAATTCAAAATCACTTGAGAAGTTGTTGCATATTCTGAGGAACTTGTGACCAATTCTTCCGAAATTTCATCATAGAATCTCCCACAATCAAATCTTCACATATCATGAAAATAGTTTGGCCGAGACATTCTTCATATCTTCTTTATTTGTTATTTTTGTTTCGCTTCTCATTAATATAATCTCCATTATGTGTGAAAATTTGAGAGTTATATGATTATCATGATTCAATGTGAACCGAGACTTTCCATAATGGTGTTGATTCTTATTTAACTTTCTATAATCCAAACAATATTAGTAGGAAAATAGAAAAAATAATATAAAAACTTATTAAAACTAGTAGTATGACCAAATGTCTTCAGCAGTCAGTACTGAATGAACTAGTCATTAGAGAAAAAGACACATAAAAGTCTTGGAAAGAAGAAGTAGAAGTTATTACACAACCACTCTCACGACTACTAACAATTTCCATACCCCAAATATTAAAATTACTAATCGCTACTAAAACCTAAAATCTCCCTCAAAATAATCACTCATGTTCATACTTATATCACGTTTCTTAAAACAAGATTAGAGATTTTCAACAAACTCTTGATTTGTGATTGGATTAGTGGATAACTGACCATCAAAATCTATCTATTTAAGAATCACCATAAAAGAAAAAAATATAAACTAGAAAATAAAAACACAAGGTAAGCATAGGGAATACCTTAGAGTAAAATGGAGAACGCAATGAAGATACTTAACATTTGAAAAAAAAACAAAGACACCGCTGAATATCGAAAAGGAAAGTAGTGAAGAATGCAAACAAAAATATATAAAAGGAAGGAGTAAGAAGTAAACCAAACATTGGGAAATAATTTTTTAAATAGTGACATATAGCCTAAAAATGTTACCTATAGAAGTACTTAGGTTATCTTAAGGGAGAAAACATGCAACAGAAAATGGCACAATAGATGGCCCTCGAAAATGCAACGTAAACTTAAAACTGACAATAAAAATGATAATGATGATAATGATGGATCATCATGAGGGGGTAGAATCTATATTGGTCAAAGAGTCATCCAAACAAGTGAGTGAGACATCACATATTCACTCAAAACCTTAAGGAAATGAGGTGTATGACTCTTGTCACTTATAAAGTGCCGAACCTCCACTTTTCCAAATAATATGAGACTTACACAACTCACATTTTTTTCCAATAATATCCCTCAAGTGTGAGTCCATCCACTATGTTCCTCCTTAAGCAGAAGATATTTCATCCATATACTTGTACCACTATTGACAAACAATCTTACCACGCCGCATGCACTTCAGCGGGACATACGGCCTGACCACCACTATCTCAGGAAGACTTTCAATAGAAAGAGTTGGTTCCTTACTCAAACCAGACTCTGATACCACTGATGGGTCATCGTGAGTGATAAACATCTACATTGGGTTAAAGACTCACCAAAACAAGTGAGAGAGACACCATATATTTATCAAAACCTTAAGGAAGTGGTAGTATGGATCCTCCCACTTATAAAATACTCAACCTCCACTTTTTCAAATAATGTGGAACTTACACAACTCACACTTGTTTGTCAATAAATAAGAGTTTTTTAATAAATAAAAATACTAAGACAAGTAAAATGGTATAGAGCATGGATACGCCTTTTGATCCACCTCGAAGAGTGTCAAATACAACCCAAAAAAAACAATTCTACTAAAGACATAAGATATTAAGAGCAAAAGTTTCAAAATTTAAGTTAAAATAGGTAATAATTGTAAGAATTTCTCTTCTTCCAAGCCAAAATCTTATAGGGATGAAGGACTTAAGAAACTCTTAAAATTTTTACCCCTCTCAAGCCTCATGCTTGGAGGGATGGTGGACCAGAGTAACATTCTCAAGCATTTATACCTTCTCAAGCCTTATGCTCAAAAGGTTGGTGAATTGAAACAACACACTTAAGCATCTTGTCTTTACATGCCTCATGTTCGGAGACTGTATAGAATATCTTAAATGTTGAAGGTCATGAATTCGACTTCACATAATGGAACATGTCGATCCCAATACTAGAGACTTATCTCTACAACACATGAATGATCTTGGGCGTGACCAATCTACAATGAGGGGAATGAATCAACTTTCAAAAAGGAAATAAATACACCTTTACATCTTGTTCGTCATAAAGATGGTGTAATTAGTATCATCCCACCTACATGACCTAGCTCATTGTGAGAGAGGATTTGTCAATCATATCCTACAAATACTAGACAAGATACAAACTACCTATAAATAAAAGGTTCAACATGAACCCAAAATATCTCATTCTTATCCTAACATACACCATATATCTTCATAGTACTGTACACTCAGAATCCTTGTCTATAACATCTTACTAGTAGAGAGCATAGTTGTTGGTTAATTAAAAATTTTAATTAGTAAGTTATAAGACAAAAGATAAAAGTAAAAACGAACTCTTTTAGTTAGTAAGTTAATAGTTATAAGACAAACGAAAAGTAGGGAGCATAGTTGTTGGTTAATTAAAAATTTTAATCTCGAACAACGACATAGAAGTACATTAAACTAAAGTTTATCAAAATCTATGTTTTATCATGTATGTTTTTTAAACCTAAATATCATTGAAATCTAAAGGTTATGTTAGATTTTTTTACTGATATTTTTAAACATAAAGAACAAAATATGATCCTAACATGAAATTAAAAAGAAGAAATAATCTTATTTCACTTTATAGACCTAAAAGATAAAGAATTATAAGCATATGAAACTAAAAGACACAACATTATTGATTTTGACAACCTAAGCAACACCACACACCTCGACTATATTCACTAGAAAAGATTTTGTACTCCTCAGAAAAATAAAGTAGAGCTTACGATATAATCAGTAAAAAAAAATCTTTATAAGTATATTTGACATGAATTTTTAATTTGTTTCAGCAATGACTTAACTAAGTGAGCTATCTTGTGATAATTTTCTAACATTAATAACAACTATTTTCGTAAAGAGAGGAAATACATATGTATTTTGTCTGTAGAGAAGAAATAAGAAGGAAAAAAAATAATAAAGGAGTAATTTGCAAACAATGAAAATTATAAAATGCTTTAAAGATTCTTTGAGAGAGGTTAGCACCCACTAAATCACAATGAAAGTATGGTACATATAACTTCGTAACCAAAAAATAGTAATAATATATTATTTTTGTTTTTCAAAAATGTATAATATATATTTTTTATCTTTATTCTTTTTTGGTTTTGAAAGAATTTTTTATATTATATCTGTCAATTTCAAACTTTCAAATTACATGAATCAACTTTCTTTTGTTAATTATATTAACAATCATTTACATTTATTTTATTGATAAAAATAAATAAGTATGTTAACCAATAAAAATAATAATAAATTTGAAATTTATAAATTTGATTTCTTAAGATTATTATTATGTACGAGTTTAATTTATATACAATATGAGAGTAAAGTATTTTTGGATTAAAGATGTTTTAGTCTTTATAAATATTTCAAAATTTAAAATTTTTTCTAAAGTAAAAAAAAAAATTAATTTAATTTTTAGTCTCTATAAAAAAAATTTTCATTCATAATACTATATTAAGTTTTTTTTACTAAATTTTAAAGTATTTTAAATATGAATTTTTAAAATTTCAAAAAATAATAATAAAAATATTAAATATTTCAACTTAAAAATTAAATTTTAAATTTTTTTAAAAGACTTTTTATAATACCCTAAACATTTCTACAAAATAATCATTCAAAAATAAATATTAATTTAAACTAAAAACATGTTTTTCTATAAAAAAAAACAAAATTTAATAATTTTATAAAAATAAAAAATATATTTAACTTAATATTTTTTATAGTATCACTAGATTCCAATCATTAATGTGTTAGCAAGAATTGTTAGTTGTAGTTTGTTTTTGTGGATCCCACTCACACTCCAACCCTCTTTCACAGTTACTGCAATTTTGCCATTTTGCCATTTTCATGTATCTAATTTTTTCATTTCCCTTATTTCTCACTCTCAAGAAAGTTGTAAAAAATTTCTCTCTCTTCCCCCATTTCAAATTCTAGGTTAGGCTCTTTTTTTTTCCTACAAGAAAAGCATCACCTTCACCATCATCATTGTAACGGTAAGAAACAAGAACAACATTTCATTTTAAATATATTTTGTTTATGAAAAATGTTGTTATTATTTCTTGTTTTGTTAGTGTTAGGGTTAATCTTGAAATTTCCTTAGGAAAGTTTTTTTATTTTTTTTACAGGGTTTTATATGAAAAATGGCGGTTAAGGGTTTTGATAAGTTAAAGTTTTGTGGTGGTGGTGGTGGTGGTGGTGGTGGTGGTGGTGATGGGAGCTTAACATTTAAACGGCATAACTCGTGCGAGAGAAATGATACATGGAATTCAGGAGTGAGGAGGCAAGTTTCTTATGATGATTCTGATGATGATGATGATGTATCTTTGGCGGTAAGGTTATCCCGGATGCCGAATTCGGGAACACGGAGTGGTGTCTGTGATGTTCCTGTTCAGAAGAGGGGTGATACTACTACAATGCCGATTAAGAGGCCATTTGGTAATAGCAATGCCTTGCAGAATTCTGTTAAGAAATTGAAGGTGACAACGGATGATAATCCTTTGACGGTGAGAATCAAAGTTCCGGGAAAAGTTGCTGATGAATCGGTTTCGTTGATGAAGAAAGATCTTGCATTGGTAGAAAAACCGTTTGAGGGATGCAAAAGTAAGAGGCAAGTGGAAGAGAAGAGATTGCTGTCCATAAAGAGAGATATTGAGGAGTGTTCGAAAGAGCTTGTGAATTTGAAAAAGAAAAATAGTTGTGTTGAAAGAATTAGCGGATCTCATAAGAAAATGTTGGGGAAAATTGATGAATGTGTAAAGGATTCTGTAGCAAAAGAAGCGCAACTCTGTTTGATGGACGACTTGATTGGAGAGCGCAAGCGAGAGCTCAAGAGAAAAGAAATAGAGCTTCATCAAGTCATGGATAACATTGTTAAGCACCGTGAAGGGAAGGAAGAAGAACTCAAGGCTCTTTCCGAAAAAATTGCTCAATGTACTGTGGAACTTAAGGCCAGAGTGAAAGAGCGTGTTGCGATGAAAAAACAAATTGACGAACAAGCAGAGATTTTAAAGTCAGAAAATAAGAAGTTACTAAAGGTAATGATGCAACTAAGACAAATGAATGAATTTGAATTAACCAAGAAGCAATTTGAAGAGCAGGTTAAGGAGCTTGAGTTAAAGGAGAAAAGATGCAGAGAGAGGGTGATGGAGCTTGAGTCAAAGGAGAAGGTATTTCAAGGCTGTGTAGAAGAGAAAAGGTACCGAGAACGAGAGGTGGAGCTTGAGTCAAACGAGAAGCTCTTTGAAGGTCGTGTAAAAGAACTCGAGTTTAAAGAGAAGCAACTTGAAGGCCAAGCGGAAGAGTTTGAATTGAAGGTGGAGAGATTTCATAACCAAATAAAGGAGCTTGAATCGGAAAAGAAGGATTTTGATCGCTGGGTAAAGGAGCTGGAATCAAAAGAGAGGCAATTTGAAGGACAAGTGAAGCGGCTAGAGTTAAAAGAGGAGCAGCTTGAAGGCCGTGTGAAAGAGTTGGATTCAAAAGAGGAGGATTTTAAAGGCCAAGTTAAGGACCTTGAGTCAAAAGAAAACAAACTTGAAGCCCGGGTGAATGAGTTCAAATCAGAAAAAGAGCAATTCCAAGGGCGGTTGAAGGAGCTTCGGCTTAAAGAAAAGTTGCTTGAAGACAAAGTGAAGAAATTTAAAGGCCGAGTAGAGGAAATTGAATCAAAAGAGGATGAATTCAAAGCTCGAATGCATGAGCTCAAACGTTTTATAAGCCGAATGGAGGATTTCAACTCAGAAGAGGAACAATTTGAAGGACGAGGGAAAGAGCTTGTGTCAATAGATAAAATTTTCAAAGTACATGCGAATGAATTCGAGCAAAAAGAGAAGCAGCTTGACAGACCCATGAAGGATCTTGAGTTGAAGCCAAATGAATTTGATGGACAACATAAGCAGCCCGAGTTACGAGAGAAACAATGTGTTGCAGTAATACAACCATTCGAAGAAGAAACAGAATTGGGTAAGTGCTATATTTTCATTCAGTTTTTGAAACCATTTCATTTCAACTGTAACTTTTAGTATAAAGCTTTCAATCTCAGAGACGTTTATATTATAGTATATAGATTAGATACTTTCACATTGAATAACTTATCCTTCAATAAATATCGTGGAAGCTTAAATATGCACATATATATATATATGGTTACATCTTATCTTACACAGGTAATCAATTAAGTCCCACCATTGACGACAGATGTTTGATGTTGGTACCATGTGAGCGAACTGATGAATTTGAGTCATTTGACTATGGCCTTAATCTGCAAAGTTTATCTGATCGATCAAAAAATGTGTTGGAAATAATACAGAACCCCATTTTCCCAAAGTGTAAAATGGGAAACAGTGATGTAATTATTGATGATAGAGACATTCTCCTGCTCGAAGAACTGATGAGAATCTCACCAGATGTTAAACCTCATACAAGAGAAAAAGCAATGGAGCTAGCACTTGAATTGAAAGCTAACATGGAAGAAAGTACAGAAAATTCTAAAGTGGTTTTGGGTTTTCTACTCCTTTTGTCAATTTATGGGCTGGTTCCTTCTTTCGACGAAGATGAAGTTTTAAAGCTTTTTGAACTTGTTTCTCAGCAAAAAATAGCTGTAGTTCTGTTTGGGGCCTTGGGTTTCGCAGATAAAATATCTGGTAAGATATCTAAAATTTGCTGACTAGAACTTCTGTTTTGGGCGGTTTTGTTGAAGTGAAATTTTCTTGCACCATGCAGATTTTGTTGAGAATCTTATCGCAAGACAACAATATGTAGAAGCTGTTAGATTCAGTTGTGCGTATAACTTGGGTGACAATAATCAACTAGTTGCTCTCTTGCGAGAACATGTGCATAATGCAAAACTAATTTCTGAGAGCAGTTGCAACAAAGTCAACTCCATCGAAATTAAGGTTCTTGTTTTTTCATTCTATTCGATTTCTCTGTTATGAAACATTCCACTTTCATACAATTTCATGATAGCTATACATATTTTGAATTATGAACACAGGATAAAGCCAGAGACCAAGAAATTGCAAGTCTCAGAGCTGTTTTACAGTGTATTGAAGACAACAACCTAGAATCCGAGGACACACATAACACGATTCACGACCGTATTCTTGAGCTAAAGAGACAGACGGGTAAATAGTATTCTTACTGGCACCACTGAGCACCATCCTCTAAGTAGGGAAAACCGGCTAACACGTTGCCTTGTAAATGAAGTAACAGGATTCTCTCTGTTTCTTGCTCTTATGTAAAAAATCTAACTGGGTCATCTCATCTTTGACTCCCTACTCTTTCCGTTGTATATACTATATAGCTTTATCTTTTTGAAGAAATTCTCTGGCTTAAAATGTTTATGTACAAATTGGTTAATTTGGAGCACATGCCACCTTTTTGTTCAGAATGTTTATGTAATTAGCTTCATTCACTTGATGTAAAAGTTCTCTCTCATTTGTTCAGATACAATTGAAATTTTGGTTTGTGCTTGGAAAATGAAATAAACTTAGTTTTTACATGTACACTTTCCTCTTTTTAAAATGGTTTGAGGTATTTTCCTTTCTAAAATGGATAATACACATATAATAGGATCAATCCCATTTCTTCAAAAAAAAAAAGAAATATCAATTCCAACATTATCAACATATATAGAACTAAAACAGAATAATATTGATTAAGAATAAGAAGTGATATATAATATATTATTTCTTTTGGACTAAAATAAATATTTATCAGGAACCAAATTTCTTAATATGATTCTTGGAGAAAAATATTATGAGATCTCAAATTTCTTTGTTTAATTAAAAAATTTTAATTCAATATTGAAAATGCAATTGTGTTAAAAAAAAATTTAAAAATGTTTTGTTATCTATTATAATTTTCTTCAATTCAAAAAATTAACTTTTTTCAATTTAACGCAGATGTTTTATAATTCAATAAGAAAGTTAGGTGCCACAAAAGTACCTATCATTTTAATATCTTTTGTTTAGGAAGTCCAAAATTAAAAGTTTTTTTTTTTTTAAAAATTGTCTCAAATTATAAGTAACTTTATAATTCCAATACAACATTGATGAACTTTCGACTGATCTGATGTCATTATCGAAGTTGAATTTTAATATTCAATAACAAAAGTTCAGATTGAATTGATTGAGAGAGAGAGAGAGAGTTATGCTAACTCAATTTTTTTTCATGGGTATATGGCATCTAGACGTCGGTCTAATGCGATCATTCTTTTATCCGTGAATGGTGGTATAGTGGAAGGTGTGGCCCCGATTAGAGATGATGCGTTCCAGCATTTTCAATCACCCTTCAAGGCAGTCGAAGGTAATCGGCCTGACATTGATAACTTGGAGTTTAAAATACTTAGTGGGGGAGGAAGGGGATGATCTTATTAAGTCTTTTTCGATGGAAGAAGTGAAACATGTTGTGTGGGATTGTGATAGTTATAAGAGTCTTGGACTTGATGGTGTGAGTTTCAGGTTTATAAAAGAATTTTGGGACATTTTAAAAGAAGATTTGTTAAGATACATGGTGGAGTTTCATCACAATGGTAAGCTTACGAAATGTATTAATAGCACGTTTATTATTTTGATACCTAAAGTTGCTAGTCCTCGGCGGGTAGCGGATTATCGTCCTATATCGTTAGTTGGGTGTTTGTACAAAGTCTTGGCAAAGGTTTTGGCTAACAGATTACGAAAGGTGATTGGGAGGATGATTTCTGATACTCAATCAACTTTTATATTTGGTAGGAAAATCTTAGACGACATTCTAATAACTAATGAGGTGGTGGATGAAGCTAGTAAGAAGAAGAAAGAGTTATTGTTATTCAAAGTGGATTTCGAAAAAGCTTAAGATTATGTTGATTGTATTTATTTGAAAAGGGTGATGGCTAGAATGCATTTCCCCGACTTGTGGGTGAATGGATTAATGAATGTGTTTCGACGGCTACGACGTCGGTTTTGGTTAATGGCAACCCAACTGATGAGTTTAGGTTGGAGAGAGATTTGGGTCAGGGTGATCTGTTATCACCTTTTCTCTTTTTGATTGCGGTTGAAGGTTTCAATGTTTTAATAAATACTATTGTTCATGAAGGCATGTTTACTGGGTATAGAGTGGGAAATGGCGTAGGAGAGCCATTTACTCATCTACAGTTCACGAATGATACTCTTTTGTTGGGGTCTAAGAGTTTGACTAATGTTAGAGCTCTAAAAACAATGTTGTTGTTGTTTGAGTCTATTTCAAGTTTAAAAATGAATTTTCATAAGAGCATGTTGGTGGGTGTGAACATTTCTAATTCTTGGTTGAAAGAGGTAGCTATTACGTTAAACTGTAAATTGGGAGTTATTTTGTTTGTGTATTTGGGGATGCCTATTGGGGGTAATCCGCTAAGCTTAGTTTCTGGGATATGGTGTTGGAAACCATCAAAAATAGGTTATCTGGGTGGAAGTGTCATAATCTTTCTTTGGGTGGTCGGTTGATTATGTTGAAGTATGTTATTTCCTTTATTACGATTTACTTCCTTTCTTTCTTCAAGGCTCCCGTAGGTATCATTTCTTCTCTTAAATCTTTATTTAATATTTTCTTTTAGGGAGGTAGGGAAGAGAAGAGGAAAATATCGTTGATTGATTGAGATGTAATTTGTTTGAGTAAGAAGAATGGTGGGTTGAGAGTGAGATGATTAAGGGAGTTTAATGAGGCTTTATTGAGAAAATGGTGCTGAAGGATGTTGGAGGAGAGGGGAAGTCTTTGGTATAGGGTGTTAGTTCATCGATATGAGAAGGAATAGGGCGATTAAAGTATGGGGTAGTCGGGAGGTCTGTGTAGTGGCATAATATGAACAGGATCAGAATTGGGAGTGGGATGATTGAACATGAGTGGCTTCTCAATGATATTAAGAGTTCATTATGAAATGGGGTAATCTTTCTATTCTAGAGGGATCCTTGGTTGGAATGTGGGGTGTTAATGTCTTGATTCAGTAGGCTTAATGAGTTAACTGAGTTTAAGGATGCTACAGTAGGAGAGATGTATTCTTTAGGTTGGGGGTGGATGGAGAGGCTTGGAGTTGGCATAGGAGGTTGTTTGCATGGGAGGAAGAGTTAGCCGGGGAGTGTTAAGAGTTATTGGATTCGGTTGTTTTGCAGGACGCGGTGGATGATACTTGGGTGTGGAGACTTCATTCTACAAATCAATATAATGTGAGTAGTTCGTATCATTTCTTGACGAAGACGTGGACAAAAGCAGTGTCGCTTAAGGTTAATCTTTTTGTTTGACTATTATATTGTAATAGACTTCTGACGAGAGATAATTTGGTTTGGATACATTTTATTATAGCAGATGCACAAAATTGTTCTAGTGCGTATGGTCAGAATGAAACTCGGGATCATATGTTTGTTAGGTGTGATTATTATGGTAAAATTTGGTCGTTATTGTCTGGTTGGTTAGGGTTCTCGTCGGTTTTTTAGGTCCAATGCAGGGATCATCATGATCAATTTGTGGCTTTGGGTGGCTGGTCAAAACCTTACTGAAACGTCTTTCATATTATTTGGGTGGCTACGTTGTGGTTAATTTGGAAAGTGAGGAATCAGCGGGTTTTTCAGAATAAGAGTTTGTCGTTGATGACTATTTGTGAAAAGATTAAACTTTAATCTTTTTGGTGGTTGAAATCTCATTATCCAGCATTATGTTTTGATTATCATGTTTAGAGGATAAATCTTTTGCAGTGTATTACAGTTACTATCGTTTAGTTGGGATTTTTCTTTTGTGGTTGTTTTTGTTTCGAATGATATTACATTTTTTGCAGTTCTTCTAGTACACCTTGTGTTTGAAAGACTTTATCATGGTTACTATATCACTTTAGATTTTTTTTTAAAAAAACATTAATGATATTTTTCTTAATATACCCTCTATTATTTATTATTATTTTTTCTTCATATTCTTTTACCACTGAAATTAATAAAGGATAATATTATAAAGTCAAACATAATTTATCTTTACTATACAATATCAATTGTATTTTTTAATTTGTGTGAAATGTTTAAAATGTCTTATAATTTGAGAGGAAATGAGTATTTAGTTCTTATAATATATGGGAGTATCTACTAATATTAATATTTAAAAAAAAATATTGTAGGTTAATATTGCTAATACACAATTTTGTCATTTTTGAGAGAAAAAGAAACAAATTATGTGGTGGTTGAAAATTGGTGACCAAGTTATTTGCATTTTGTAGTGTTTGGTGGACCCGCTTTCACACACATATTTTTTGAGCTATGCAATCACACAGTCACGTGTGGGGACCGTTCAATCAAAATAGAACGGCAATTAATTCGATGTTTTCCGTAAAATAAAATATGTCACTTTAGACCGTTGGATCAATATCAAACGTCGAGAGATCTTTTAATTGTGTGATTGTGAGAAATGTGTGACCGTACGGAATGGTTTTCCATAAAAGCTTCTTCTTCAAGTTTCTCTTAAACGTTGGGGAAGAGAAGAGATTGAAGTCCATTGAGAGTTTACAAGAAAACGATGGGTAAAGTTGAAGGATGTGTTGAGGATTTTGTGGTGAAGGAAGCACAACTGTGTTTGATAGAGGACTTGATTGGAGAGCAGAAGCAAGAGCTTAGGGTAAAAGAGAAGCAACATGAAGGACTAGTGATGAAATGGGAATTAAAAGACAGAGAATTCGAAGGCCAAATGAAGGAGATGGAATCACAAAAGAGGCATTTTGAAAGCCTAGTAGATGAACTCAAAGCAAAAGAAAGGCAGTTGAAAGGACAAGTTTGTTGAGTAAACTTTAATGTCATTAGTAATGATTTTTCTTATTAAATAAGGTAGTAGAAAGGTTAAGAACCAAATGTAATTTGGAAGGTAAAAAAAGTCAGTAGGTTATGATATTTTTTATTAGTAGCAATTATATTTCTTATATTATAAAAGTCATTGGGTCTATATAAAGACCAATAGTGTATTTTATATGAAGAACAACAAGTTGAAAAGTTTATCACTTTCTCTAAACAGTAAAATCGAATATTGCTTCCATTATAAAAATTTGGCATCAGAGCTCATGGCAAACATGATGAATCAAATGTTGTTGCCACGGCTAACGAAGTCAAATTATGAAAACTGGAGTATCCAAATGAAAGCTCTTCTTGGATCTCTAGACGCGTGAAATGTGACCCATGATGGGTTTGAAGAACCAACAGAAGTTGGGGGATATACGGAAGCTCAAACGAAGGTGTTAAAAGAGACACGATCGAAGGACAAAACGATATTATACATGTTCTTCAGGTTTGTAGATAAATCAGACTTCGAAAAGATTGTTGGTTCGACCACATCGAAACAAGCGTGGGACACGTTAGGAAGAGTGTTCAAAGGAGCAGATCGAGTGAAGCAAGTTCGACTTCAAACTCTTTGTGGCGAATTGGAGAGGATACAGATGAAAGATACAGAAATTGTATCTGACTAAATCACACGTGTGCAAAAGGTGGTGAATCAACTCACCAGAAATGGCGAGACAGTAACTGATGCACGAGTTGTTAAAAAGATCTTGAGATCTTTAACAGACAAGTTTGAGAATATTGTGTGTGCAATAGAAGAGTCGGAGGACCTTTCGACTCTCTCAGTCAAAGAGCTCGCTGGTTCTCTCGAAGCACATGGACAACGAAAGAAGAAAAAGAAAGAAGAAGCAGTCGAAGAAGAAAATCAAACCAAGGAATCAAACAAAGACGAAAAGGTACTATTTTCTCAAAACTTTCGAGGAAGAGGACATGGACGTGGAGGTCGTGACAGTGGTCGAAGTTGTTGAGGTAGCAACTTCGAAAGAGGACAATCGAGCCAGCAAAATTGGCATGGCAAAGGACGTGGTCAAAGAGGTGGTCATTTGAATCACTCCAACTTCGAATGCTACAAGTGTGGGAAGTATGGTCATTATGCGAAGGATTACAACTCCTAAAAACGTTACAACTGTGACAAAGTGGGACATCTTGCAAAATACCGTCGAATCGAAAAGAAGATTGAAGAAACAACCAACCTAGCCTTGGAAGCTGAATCGAATGGAGGCTTTCTCATGATGGATCAACACGAAATCAACACCAATAATGACAATGTTTGGTATCTTGACTCAAGAGCAAGTAATCACATGTGTGGTTACAAACACCTGTTTAAAGATATGAAGAGAATTGAAGATAGTAATATGTCTTTTGGAGATGCATCAAAAGTGAAGGTCAAAGGAAAGGGCACAATTAGTTACTTGCAGAAGGATGGCTTGATTGGATCAATCAAAGACGTTTACTATGTACCAGATCTTAAGACTAACATGAGTCAGGGACAACTTACAGAAAAAGGTGCTTCGATACTTATGAAAGATCGAACACTGCATTTGAAGGACAAAGTAGGACATCTGATTTCCCGTGTCGAAATGGAAAGAAATTGAATGTACAAACTGAACCTGAGGAACATTCGAGAGAAATGTATGAAAATCGAAGTGAAAGACAAAGCGTCACTATGGCATATGCGCTTTGGTCAACTACATCATGCTGGTTTGAGAAGGTTGGCGAAAAGGAACATGGTGCATGGACTACCAGACATGGATTACGAAAGAAAGTTTTGTGAACAATGTGCGCTCAGCAAACAAACAAGAACCTCATTTCAAAAGAAGGCATAATATCAAGCTAAACATATTCTCGAATTGATACATACTGACATATGTGGGCCAATCACTCCAGAATCCTTCAGTGGAAAAAGGTACTTCATTTATTTTATTGATGATTTCTCAAGAAAGACCTGGGCTTACTTCCTGAAAGAAAAGTCAGAAGCATTAGAGGTGTTCAAAAAGTTCAAAGTAATGGTGAAGAAGGAAACAGAAAGACACATCAAAGCAGTTCGATATGACAGAGGAGGTGAGTACACTTCGATGACCTTTGTGAAGTGCTGTGAAGAACAAGGCATAAGGATATTCTTAACTGCACCATATTCACCTTATAAAAATGGTGTGACTGAAAGGAAGAATCGAACTATTCTTGACATGATTCGATCAATGCTCAAAAGCAAGAACATGTCGAAAGAATTATGGGCATAAGTAGTACAATGTGATGTTTATGTTCAGAATAGATGTCCACATTAGAAGTTAGAAGATAAAACACCACAAGAAACATTGAGTGGACAGAAGCCAACAGTTTCTCATCTCAAGATATTTGGTAGTGTAGCTTATGCACATGTACAAGATCAACAAAGAACAAAGCTTGAAGACAAAAGTCAGAAGTACATATGAATTTGATATGATGAGAAGACGAAAGTGTATAAGCTATTCGACCCCATAAGCAAGAAAGTGATCGTGAGTAGAGATGTTCAAATAAACGAAGCAAGCAAGTGGGACTGGAACAATTCGACAGAGGTTATTGACGCAGTCGAAGAAACAACTGTAGTTGTACAAATAAGTATTTCAACAGAACATAAAGATACTGAAGATAAAGATGAAGATGAACCTCTACAACCCAAAATGAGAAGTTTGCAAAATTTATATGATTAAACAAGTGAGGTGCATCTTGTGTTCCTTCTGGCAAATGCTGAAAACATCAGTGTCGAAGAAGCGTTACGAGACAAGAAGTAGAAAAGTGCCATGGACTAAGTGATTAGAGCTATCGAACGCAACAACACTTGGGAGCTAGTAGAATTTCCAAAAGGTAGTAAACCCATTGGTGTAAAGTGGGTATTCAAGAAAAATATGAATACTCAAGGAGAAATCGAAAGATTCAAAGCATGACTTATTGCGAAGGGATACAAACAGAAAGCAATAATTGACTATGACGAAGTGTTTGTGCCTGTTGCAAGAATGGAGACAATTTTATTTCTCATTTCTCAAGCTGCTCAATTCAAATGGATAATATTTTAAATGGATGTCAAGATAAGATTTTTGAATGGTCTTCTCGAAGATGAAATCTATGCCGAACAACCACTTGGGTATATGAGAATTGGAGAAGAGAAGAAGGTGCTAAAATTGAAGAAAACGTTGTATGGGCTGAAGCAAGCACCAAGGGAATGGAACACACGCATTGACACATATTTCAAAGAGAATGGATTCGAGCAATTTCCTTATGAACCTGCCCTTTATGTGAAGAAAAATGGAAGTAATGTATTACTTGTTGCTCTCTATGTTGATAACCTTATTTTTATAGGCAGAGATGTTCAAATGATAAAAGATTTCAAGAGCACCATGACAAGCGAATTCGAAATGACAGACTTAGGTCTGATGAGATTCTTTCTTGGTCTGGAGGTTCGACAAGAAGAAACTGGAATCTTTATCTCACAAGAAAAATATGCAAAGGAAATCCTGGAAAGATATAAGATGAAGAGTTGTAATCCAACTTCAACGCCAATGGAACCAGGTGCAAAACTGTCAAAGCTTGATGGAGGAGAACGGGTCAAAGGAAGCAAATATCGAAGCTTGGTAGGTAGCCTTCAATATCTCACATGCAAAAGGCCAGGCATTTTACTAAGTGTTGGCATTGTAAGTTGATTCGTGGAAGAGCCAGTACACACACATTGGAAGGCAGTGACATGAATTCTAAGATACACCCAAGGAACATTATCACTTGGAATGTTTCATTCAAAAATAGAAGACTACAAGTTAGTTGGTTATTCTGACAGTGACTGGTGTGGAGACATAGACGATCGAAAGAGCACTTTTGGATATGTGTTCTTCATGGGAAACACAACATTTACTTGGCTATCTAAGAAGCAACCTATAGTAACACTTTAGGAGTGTGAAGCTGAATATGTGGCAGCATCCTGGTGCGTCTGTCATGCAGTATGGCTCAGAAGGTTGATAAGCAAGATGAAGCTAAAACAAGAAGGTCTAACAATAATACAAGTGGACAACAAATCAGTCATTAAATTGGCAAAGAATCTAGTGAATCATGAACGAAGCAAACACATTGATGTTTGATTCCACTTCATTCGTGAACATGTGAAGGAAGGAAGTGTCAAATTGAGGCATGTGGCAAGCAAGAACCAAGCAGCGAATATTTTCACAAAACCACTATCGAAAGAGATCTTCAACAGAGGCAAGAAGATGATATGAATGCTAGATAGAAGAAACATGTAAGTTTACAGAGGAGTTTTATTGAGGTAACTTTAATGTCATTAGTAATGAGTTTTCTTATTTAATAAGGTAGTAGGAAGATTAAGAACCAAATGTAATTTAGAAGGTCAAAAAAGTCAGTAGGTTATGATAGTTTTTATTAGTAGCAGTTATCTTTCTTGAATTGTAAAATTCATCGGGTCTATATAAAGACCAAGAGTGTATTTTATATGAAGAACAACAAGTTGAAAATTTTGTCTCTTTCTCTAAACAGTAAAATCGAAGTCTGCTTCCATTATAACAAAGTTAAGGAACTTGAGTCTAAAGAGGAATTACTTGAAGGTCGGGCGAAGGAGTTGGAATTAGAAAAGAAGAATTTTGAAATCCGAATGAAGGACCTTGAGTCAAAAGAGAAGCAACATGAAAGTCGAGCGAAGGAGCATGAGTTAAAAGTGAGAGAATTTGAAGGCCAAGTAAAGGAGCTGAAATCTAAACACATACATTTTAAAAGCCAAGTGGAGGAGCTCAAATTAAAAGATATGCAATTGAAAGGAAAAGTCAAGGAAGTTGAGACCAAAGAGAAGCAACTTGATGGCCGAGTGAAAGAGTTCCGGTCAAAAGAGGAGGAGTTCAAAGATCAAGTAAAGGTGTTTGAATAAAAGGAGGAGGAATTTGAAGGTCGAGTTCAGGAGCTCAATTCAAAAGAGAAGCAATTTGAAAGCAAAATTGGGGACCTTTGAAAACAGATGGAAAGAACTCGAGTCAACAGAGAAACAGTTTGACGGACAAGTCAAGAATCCCGAATCAAAGCTGAATAAACATGAGAAAAATGTTTAGTAAACTTTAACGTCATTAGTAATAAGTTTTCATATTAAATATGGTAGTAGGAAGATTAAGAAACAATGTAATTTGGAAGGACAAAAGTTAGTAAGTTATGATAGTTTTTATTAATAGCAGTTATCTTTTGGAATTTTAAAAGTCATTGGATCTATATAAGGACCAAGAGTGTATTTTATTTAACAAGCAATAAAGAAAAAGGTTTGTCTCTTTCTCAAAATAAATCACATAACGAAGTCTACTTATTTATATCAATTTGGCATCAAAGCTCATGGCAAACATGATGAATCAAATGTCGTTGCCACGACTAACGAAGTCAAATTATGAAAACTGGAGTATCCAAATGAAAGCACTTCTTGGATCTCTAGATGTGTGGGATGTGACCCATGAAGGGTTTGAAGAACCAACAGAAGTTGGGGGATATACGGAAGCTCAAACGAAGGCGTTAAAAGAGACACGATCGAAGGACAAAACGATATTATACATGTTGTTCAGGGCTGTAGATGGATCAAGCTTTGAAAAAATTGTTGGTTCGACTACGTCGAAACAAGCGTGGGACATGTTAGAAAGAGTGTTCAAAGGAGCAGGTCGAGTGAAACAAGTTCGACTCCAAACTCTTCATGGCGAATTGGAGAGGATACAGATGAAGGATACAAAAATTGTATTTGACTACATCACACATGTGCAAAAGGTGGTGAATCAACTCACCAGAAATGGAGAGACAGTAACTGATGCACGAGTTGTTGAAAAGATCTTGAGATCTTTAACAGAAAAGTTTGAGAATATTATGTATGCAATAGAAGATTCGAAGGACCTTTCGACTCTCTCAGTCGAAGAGCTCGCTGGTTCTCTCGAAGCACATGAACAACGAAAGATGAAAAAGAAGGAAGAAGCAGTCGAAGAAGCAAATCAAACCAAGGAATCGAACAAAGACGAAAAGGTACTCTTTTCTCAAAACTTTCGAGGAAGAGGACATGGACGTGGAGGTCGAAGTGGTAGAGGTAGAAACTTCGAAAGAGGACAATCGAGCCAACAAAATTGGTGTGGCAGAGGACATGGTCAAAGAAGTGGTTATTCGAATCATTCCAACTTCAAATGCTACGAGTGTGGGAAGTATGGTCATTACGCGAAGGATTGCAACTCCTACAAATGTTACAACTGTGACCAAGTGGGACATCTTGCAAAAGACTGTCGAATCGAAAAGAAGATTGAAGAAACAACCAACCTAGCCTTGGAAGCTGAATCGAATGAAGGCTTTCTCCTGATGGCTCAAAACGAAATCAAAACCAATAATGACAATGTTTGGTATCTTGACTTAGGAGCAAGTAATCACATGTGTGGTTACAAACACCTGTTTAAAGATATGAAGAGAATTGAAGATGGTAATGTGTCTTTTGGAGATGCATCGAAAGTGAAGGTCGAAGGAAAGGGTACAATCAGTTACTTGCAGAAGGATGGCTTGATTGGATCAATCGAAGACGTTTACTATGTACCAGGTCTCAAGACCAACATATTGAGTCTGGGATAACTTATAGAAAAATCTGCTTTGATACTTATGAAAGATCGAACACTGCATTTGAAGGACAAAGTAGGACATCTGATTGCCCGTGTCGAAATGGAAAGAAATCGAATGTACAAACTGAACCTGAGGAACATTCGAGAGATATGTCTGCAAATCGAAGTGTAAGACAAAGTGTCACTATGGAATATGCGCTTTGGTCATCTACATCATGCTGGTTTGAGAAGGTTGGCGAAAAGGAACATGGTGCATGGACTACCAGACATGGATTTCGAAGGAAAGTTATGTGAAGAATGTGTGCTCAACAAACATACAAGAACCTCATTTCAAAAGAAGGCAGAGTATCAAGCTAAACATATTCTCGAATTAATACATACTGACATATGTGGGCCAATCACTCCAGAATCCTTCAGTGAAAAAAGGTACTTCATTTATTTTATTGATGACTTCTCAAGAAAGCCTGGGTTTACTTCCTGAAAGAAAAATCTGAAGCATTAGAGGTGTTCAAAAAGTTCAAAGTAATGGTGGAGAAGGCAACATACAGACACATCAAAGCAATTCGATCTGACTGAGGAGGTGAGTATACTTCGATGGCCTTTGTGAAGTACTGTGAAGAACAGGGCATAAGGAGATTCCTAACTGCACCATATTCACCTCAGCAAAATGGTGTGGCTGAAAGGAAGAATCGAATTATTCTTGACATGATTCGATCAATGCTCAAAAGAAAGAACATGTCGAAAGAATTCTGGGCAGAAACAGTACAATGTGTTGTTTATGTTCAAAATAGATGTCTACATTCGAAGTTAGAAGACAAAACACCACAAGAAGCATGGAGTGGACAGAAGCCAAAAGTTTCTCATCTCAAGGTATTTGGTAGTATAGCTTATGCACATGTACCAGATCAACAAAGAACAAAGCTTGAAGACAAAATCAGAAGTATATATTCATTAGATATGATGAGAAGACGAAAGGGTACAAGCTCTTCGATCCCATAAGCAAGAAAGTGATCGTGAGTAGAGATGTTCGAATGAACGAAGCAAGCAAGTGGGACTGGAACAATTCGACAGAGGTTATTGACGCAGTCGAAGAAACAACTGTAGCTGTACCAACAAGTATTCCAACAGAACATAAAGAAACTGAAGATGAAAATGAACCTCTACAACCCAGAATGAGAAGTTTGCAAGATTTGTATGATTCAATAAGTGAGGTGCATCTTGTGTGTCTTCTGCCAGATGCTGAAAACATCAGTGTCGAAGAAGTGTTACGAGACAAGAAGTGTAAAAGTGCCATGGACGAAGAGATTAGAGCAATCGAACGCAACAATACTTGGGAGCTAGTCGAATTTCCAAAAGGTAGTCAACCCATTAGTGTAAAGTGGGTATTCAAGAAAAAGATGAATGCTCAAGGAGAAATCGAAAGATTCAAAGCACGACTGGTTGCGAAGGGATACAAACAGAAAGTAGGAATTGACTATGACGAAGTGTTTGCGCCTATTGCAAGAATGGGGATAATTCGATTACTCATTTCTCAAGCTGCTCAATTCAAATGGCTAATATTTCAAATGGATGTCAAGACAATATTTTTGAATGGTGTGCTCGAAGAAGAAATCTATGTCGAACAACCACTTGGATATATGAGAATTGGAGAAGAGAAGAAGGTGTTGAAACTGAAGAAAACGTTGTATGGGATGAAGCAAGCACCGAGGGCATGGAACACACACATTGACACATATTTCAAAGAGAATGGGTTCGAGCAATGTCCTTATGAATCCGCCCTCTATGTGAAGAAAAATGGAAGTAATGTATTACTTGTTGCTCTCTATGTTGATGACCTTATCTTTCTAGGCAGTGATGTTCAGATGATCGAAGATTTCAAGAGCACCATGACAAGCAAATTCGAAATGACAGACTTAGATCTGACGAGATTCTTTCTTGGTCTGGAGGTTCGACAAGAAGAAGCTGAAATCTTTATCTCACAAGAAAAATATGCAAAGGAAATCCTAGAAAAATATAAAATGAAGAATTGAAATCCAACTTCGACGCCAACGGAACCAGGTGCAAAACTGTCAAAGTTTGATGGAGGAGAACGGGTTGAAGGAAGCAAATATCGAAGCTTGGTAGGTAGTCTTCGATATCTCACATGCACGAGATCATACATTTCACTAAGTGTTGGCATTGTAAGTCGATTCATGGAGGAGCCAATACACACACATTAGAAGGCGCTGAAACGAATTCTAAGATACATCCAAGGAACAATATCACTAGGAATGCTTTATTCAAAAATAGAAGACTACAAGTTAGTTGATTATTCTGATAGTGACTGGTGCAAAGACATAGACGATCGAAAGAGCACCACTGGATATGTGTTTTTCATGGGAAACACAACATTTACTTGGCTATCAAAGAAGCGACCTATAGTAACACTTTCGACGTGTGAAGCTGAATATGTGGCAGCATCCTGGTGCGTCTGCCATGCAGTATGGCTCAGAAGGTTGATAAGCAAGATGGAGTTAAAACAGGAAGGTCCAACAATAATACAAGTGGACAATAAATCATCTATCGAATTGGCAAAGAATCCAGTGAATCATGAACGAAGCAAACACATTGATGTTCGATTTCACTTCACTTGTGAACATGTGAAGGAGGGAAGTGTCGAATTGAGGCATGTAGCAAGCAAAAACCAAGCAGCAGATATTTTCACAAAACCACTATCAAAAGAGATCTTCGACAGAGGCAAGAAGATGATAGGAATGCTGGATGGAAGAAACATTTAAGTTTACAGAGGAGTTTTGTTGAGTAAACTTTAATGTCATTAGTAATAAGTTTTCATATTAAATATGGTAGTAGGAAGATTAAAAACCAATGTAATTTGGAAGGACAAAAGTTAGTAAGTTATGATAGTTTTTATTAGTAGCAGTTATCTTTTGGAATTGTAAAAGTCATTGGGTCTATATAAGGACCAATAGTGTATTTTATTTAACAAGCAATAAAGAAAAAGGTTTTCTCTTTCTCAAAAATAAATCACATAACGAAGTCTGTTTGTTTATGTCAAAAAAAGAATCAGGTAAATATTCTTATTCATCTAGTTTATCGAGAGAATTTCATTTCAAGTGTTTCATTTAATAATGTCGATATTTTTAATAACCTTATCTACATATATGGTATCTAAATATGCAGATATATCTTACATGGATGATGAATCAAGTCCTACCATTGATGAAACAAGTTTGCAGTTGGTCCCGTGTGAGCAAACTGATATTCTAGCTAATCTGCGAGCATCATCCGATCCAGCAAAAGTGGTTTT